CTCTTGTAGGTCACCCATGTGGGACACTCTTGTAGGACACTCTTGTGAGACACTTGTGGGACACTCTTGTAGGACACTCTTATGGGACACTCTTGTAGGACACTCTTGTGGGACACTCTTGTGAGACACTCTTGTGGGACACTCTTATAGGACACTCTTGTGGGACACTCTTGTAGGAAACTCTTGTGGGACACTCTTGTAGGACACTCTTGTGGGATACTCTTGTCGGACACCCTTAAGGGACACTCTTGTGAGACACTCTTGAGCGACACTGTTGCGGGACACTCTTGTGGGACATTTTTGTGGGACACTCTTGTGGGACACTCTTGTAGGACACTCTTGTGGGACAGTCTTGTGGGACACTCTTGTGGGACACTCTTGTGGGACACTCTTGTGGGACACTCTTGTAGGACACTCTTGTAGGACACTCTTGTGGGTCACTCTTGTGGGACACTCTTGTGGGACACTCTGTGGGACACTCTTGTGGGACACTCTTGTGGGACACTCTTGTAGGACACTCTTGTGGGACAGTCTTGTAGGACACTCTTGTGGGACACTCTTGTGGGACACTCTTGTAGGACACTCTTGTGGGATACTCCTTTAGGACACTCTTAAGGGACACTCTTGTGAGACACTCTAGTGGGACACTGTTGCGGGACACTCTTGTGGGACACTCTTGTGGGACACTCTTCACTCTTGTGGGACACTCTTGTGAGACACTCTTGTAGGACACTCTTGTGGGACACTCTTGTTGGAAACTCTTGTGGGACACTCTTGTAGGACACTCTCGTGGGAAACTCTTGTGGGACACTCTTGTAGGACACTCTTGTGGGTCACTTGCAGGACACTCTTGTGGGACACTCTTACACGACACTCTTGTAGGACACTCTTAAGGGACACTCTTACACGACACTCTTGAGCGACACTGTTGCGGGACACTCTTGTGGGACAGTCTTGTGGGACACTCTTGTAGGACACTCTTGTGGGACACTCTTGTGAGACACTCTTGTAGGACACTCTTGTGGGTCACTTGCAGGACACACTCTTGTGGGACACTCTTACACGACACTCTTGTAGGACACTCTTAAGGGACACTCTTGTAGGACACTCTTGTGGGACACTCTTGTGGGACACTCTTGTAGGACACTCTTGTAGGACACTCTTGTGGGACACTCTTGTGGGACACTCTTGTGGGACACTC